CAGAGGGAGAGAATCAACTCCATGAAGTTTTCCTGACTTCTGCATGCTGGCCATAGCATGTGTGGGTCCCCTACCCACCCGTCACTCACACACACAATAATAATAATAATAATAATAATAATAATAATAATAATAATAATAATAATATTTTTGGTTTTTCAAGACAGGGTTTCTCTGTGTAGCTTTGGAACCTGTCCTGAAACTCACTCTGTAGACCAGGCTGGCCTTGAACTCACACCTGCCTCTGCCTTACGAGTGCTGGGATTAAAGGTGTGCGCCACCACCAAAAGAAAGAAAGGGAACTGGAGAGCACTGGCAGCTCTTCCCAAGGTCCTGAGTTCAATTCCCAGCAACCACATGGTGGCTCACAGCCATCTATAATGAGATCTGGTGCCCTCTTCTGGTGTGCAGACATACATGCAGGCAGAACACTGTATACATAATAAATAATCCTTTTAAAAAAGAAAAGAAAGAGCAAGCAAAGTTCTTTTCATTTTAATCCTTCTGTTAACTGGCTATGTGGCCTTAGGCCCTGGTCTTTTGCTTTGTTTTGTTTTGTTTGAGACAGGGTTTCTCTGTGTAGTCTTGGTTGTCCTGGAACTCGCTCTGTAGCCCAGGCTGGCCTCCAACTCAGAGTTCCGCTGCCTCTGCCTCCCAAGTGCTGGGATTAAAGGCATGTGACACCAACCTCCAGAAAAATGGAATATTTTAAAAGACAAGTGGAGGGGTGTGCTGTGGGAGGAAAGGCTTACCTGGGGGGAGGGGGAGGGGGAGAGGAAGGAATTGAGGAAATAAGGGCACATGGGAGAAAATTACCCAAACTACATGGAAAGCTACTCTCTTAGAACTCCCCACCCCTCCCCCAAAAAATATAAAGGGAGCGAGGGTTGGGGGGGGACTACAAACTAAAACAAACACCTGTAGGTCTATCAAATACAAATACTTTTTGTCCTCGCTGCTGGTGGAGTCAGGAAAATGGGAGCTTTCTCTTGGCTTCAAGGTGTGCAATGGTAACAGCATCAGTGGTAATAACAGCTGCACTTGACTGAATACTTCACAGTCACAGACACTGTAATGCACTCCATAGAGGATGTCTAATGTAGTCGTAAGAGCCTCTCCATGAAAGGCATTAGACTGTGCCCACTGATAAATGATAAACAAAAGCTTCGAGAGATTCTCCATGGGCCAATAAAGAAGCTGTTAGCTGGGTGTGGTGGTGCACGTCTGTGATCCCAGAGCTTGAGAGGTAAGAGCTGGTAGATCAGGAGTTCAAAGTCATCCTGAGCTACATAGAGAGTTGGGGGCCATCCTGGGCTACATAAGACTCTCTCAAGGGCTGGAGAGATGGCTCAGCAGTTAAGGCTGCTTAATGCTCTTGCAGAGGACCTGAGTTTGGTTCCCAGCACCCAGGTCAGCATTTCACAACCACCTACAACTCCAGCTCCAGGGGGATTGGACAGCCTCCTGGCCTCTGAGGGCACTGCATATACTGCATGCTGGGAAAAACTTTGGTCCTCCACAAGAGTAGCAAATGCTCTTAACCACAGGTCCATCACTCTGGCCTCCAAAATAAAATAAATCTTAAAAAAGTAAAAAAGGGGACTGGAGAGATGGCTTAGCTGTTAAGAGCACTGGCTGCTCCTCCAGAGGACTGGGTTCAATTCCCAGCACCCACCACACAGCTCACAACTGTCTGTCCAATTCCGGAGGATCTGACATCTTCACACCAATGCACATAAAATAAAATCAAATAAATTATTTTAAAAAAAAGACTGTCTCATGAGATCAAATAAAAACAAGCCAACGTTTAGGAGGACACACAACCTGGTATGCTTATACAGTTCATAAAGGGGACAGTGGTGGTGTCCATGTGACCCCTGACAATACTAAATAGGTCAGTTTACCTGTTTGTCAATGAAACTGTAAAATCCCTGAGAACAGAGGCTGAAAACTCTTCTTATTCTTAGATCTGGCCCAGTGTCAGAAGGCATAGTTAATAACAACCATCGTTGAGGATGGTGGGAACTCCATGGTTTTCCAGTCTTCTCGGGGACGTTTTTTAAAAGCCATTTTGCACTTTCGAGTCATTTTTAAATCATCTTCTTGGCAGCCCGAGGAGCTTTGCTGACATTTCCTGAGCTTCTCTCAGCAAACTGGGGGATGCGTGCAGTCACCATGGTTTTTCACCTGACTGTAATGTGGCTTAATATTGTTTTGAAAAGTTTATCTACATCTGCCCTACTTACATTTATTGCGCTAACAGAAAGACCCTCCGTGAAGTCTCAGTTTTCGGAGTTAATTTGGTAAAACATCTGCTCTAAGAAAATGGTCCAGATGGTTTCTGACACGGAACGATAATAAATAAGTGATCCTTTCCGCACACTGCATGTCGTTTGCTGTGGTTTCTGCAAAGAGATGAGGCTTTTAAGGGACCAAAAAAAAAAAAATCACTCAATTCCACGGCCACCCAAGACCCATGGAAACACATGTGGTTCATGCATTTAAATGTCAGATCACTCTTTATAGGTTCAAAGGGGGGTCCTGGTGCTAGGAGTATCCCTGGGGTGCTGACCTCTGACCCTTTCTGATATTTTAGTATCACCATGTGCTTTATGCGTACTATCTTATTTAATCTTTTCAATAAGCCTACATTGCAGGTATTATCATTATTCTTCATATTCTACATGAAGAAATGGTTCGAGGGCTTGGGAGCATGGTTCCATTGGTAGAGTACTGCGCAAGCTAGCATGCACGATTCCCCGTGTACAATCCCCAGTGACAGGTAAACCAGGTGTGATGGCACACTTGCGATTCCAGAGCTCAGGAGGTAGAGACAGAAAGAGCAGAAGTTCAAGATCATCCTAGCTACAGAGGGAGTTCAAGGCCAGCCTGAGATGTATGAGACCCTGGTGTGGCTGGGGAGAGTGGGGGGGGGCAAGGGGAAGAAATTTAGGGAAGGGAGAGAGAGGGAAGATCCATTAATAAGTAGTAATAAGCCTTGTGTTCCTCATGTCTACACTCTCCACCCTAGTGGTTTGTGGGTGTCCACTACTGCATTGCATTCTCAGCCTTTCCTCCTTCTTCCACAGAGTTGTAGAATGGGGTTGACAGTATGCTGTTACTCACCTCCATGCTGTGACATATTGGTCCCCTGCCTTCTGAGTTCTCAGGTACAGTAACATATAGAAAAGTTATACAGGCGTGGCAAGGATGCCTCTCTCCCCTGACCTGTGGTCAGTCTTCACGGTAATTTGATGGGATTTAGAGACACGTTGGAGACACGTCTGAATACTATCTGTGAGAGTTTCCAGAGAAGTTTAGCTGAGGGAGGAAGACCCACCCGAGGATATGCACAACCACGGGCTGGATCCAGGACTGAAGAGAAAGGAGAAAGGGAAAGTGTGTGAACACCAGCAGGCATCTCTCTCTGCTTCCTGGCTGCAGACACAATGGAACTGCCCTCTCAGCTCCTTCTGACACATCCTCCCCACCATGATGGGCTGTGACCCTTAAACTGTGATCCAAATAACCCTTTCCTTCCCTGCATTGTTTTCACTGGGCATTTTGTCATAGCAACCAGAAAAGCTATCCCAATAACCGTTAGGATATCCTAACATCTCACAGAATGTCTCCTGAAACATCGCCATCTCCCTCTACCTGGACTATTCCAGAGGACCACACGAAGACTCTCTGCGTTTCCCTCCGCAAGGCACTGGGGTTTGCAACATTCCTTTGGTCAATACCTGCTAGCAACCCAATGTCTGCAAACTGAACTGGGTTAAGCAGGCTCCAACATACCAGAGAAATCATACGCAGATGCCAGGAGGCTGTGTTTATCAAAATTCTTTCCATGAAGGGTGTGCCATGTGGTTGGGAGACAATAAGTCGGTTGGAGACTATAAGTAAAGTTGCATGGGGTGTGGAATGGAGATTGCTGAAGGACTCTGAGTCTTTTTTTTTTTGGTGGGGGGAGGTTTGTGTAACAGCCCTAACTGTCCTGGATCTCCCTCTGTAGACTAGGCTGGCCTTGAATTCACAGATCCACCTGCCTCTGCCTCCCAAGTGCTGGGATTAAAGGTGTGAGTCACCACCTCCCGCTGGACTCCGAGTCTTGATGGATCCTGCGTATGCTTTGGTGGGGAGTGCTCAAGGTTGGGCTAGACCTGATTGAGCTGACTCTGTCTCTCCCACGAGCATGTTTAAACTTTCTCCACTGAAGAAACATAGACAAGATTTCCAAAGAACACCGTTCAAGTTGCCCCAGAGCTTCCAACCCAAGGTACGGCCTGGCACTGCCTCCCATACAACTGTCTCTAGAAAATTTTAATGTTCTTGAGTTTAATTAGTTTCTGATTGCTAAGATTTGGAGCCCTGCTTTAAATAGAGTCTCAGGCACCATTACTATACGCACACAAGGAAAGCATCAAAATCAAGGATGTGCTAAATGAAACCAAAGTCCTACACACAAAGCCAGTAAATAGCATGTCTTTATGGTAGGGAATGGTTAAAGGAAGTCTATGGTAAGTACATAAAACACACACACACACACACACACACACACACACACACACACACACACACAACTTTGAGATAGTTCTTGGTATAATCCCCACCTTCCAGGTGAAAAACCTGAGACCTGGAGATATTAAGTAATTTTTCCACAGTCTCTCGTTCACAAAACCGTTCACAAGAGCGGAACCAACATGGAAGCAGACCTTCCTGGAATGTTTGGGTAAAATGTATCCAGGAGATGCCAGTTAAAGGGGGAGTGAACAAAGAAAGCCTGGAGAGAAGGGATTTCACTAGAGGTAGTACAGCCGGAAAGAGCCCAAGTTAAAAAAAAAAAAAAAAAAGCTGGGTGAATAGGGAGTTGAAGGAGGCTCTGAAGGATGTTGGGGGAGGGGGAGAATAGGATCAAAATGTATTTTATGAAATTCTCAGTCAATAAATTAAACATAAAGAAGCGTAATTTCCCTCTATAAAAGTAAAGTAGAATCGAGTACAGTGGAGCATACTTTTAATCCCAGTACTCAGAAGACATAGGCAGGTGGAGTTCTGTGAGTTCTGGGCCAGCCAGGGTTACATAGTAAGATTCTACCAAAAAAATTAGATAGACAAATGATACATAGATGAATAGATGATAGATGAATGATAGATAGACACACAGATAGACAGATAGATAAATGATACATAGATGAATAGATAGATAGATAAATGATACATAGATGAATAGATAGATAGATAGATAGATAGATAGATAGATAGATAGAAAATGGATCGATAGATAGATGATAGATAGATAGATTTTTGTTATAAAGTTACATCAGTTGAAATGGAAGAAGAGACCATTGTTTTGAGGTAATGTTCTGTCTGCTCTTAGTATGAGAGAAGAGAGGTCCTTTCTCTTATTCACAACAGTGAGCGATGTCTCTGGTTGATGGTGGCAGAAGAGACGAGGTCCTCTCTCTCCTTCTTGCCTCTCCTCGGCATTCTGGCTGCTCCGCCTCCCGCCGCATCTCTGGGTTCTCTGCCCTCGTTTTGGTCCTGGCAGGTATGTTACATATAAACAACTACAATTATCAAGTACAGAGGAATGCCTGGATTACAGACACACAGCAGTTTCTTCAGAAAGGATCCACAGAAGAAAGATGAAATGGGATTATTCTGACAAAAGACCAGCTCTAGTTCATGTCAAAGGACAGGACCATCGGAAGTGGGATACTAAGCACACACTCCTAGGATGAGGAAGCAGGAGGTTCAGGTGTTTGTCATCATTCTTGGCTACATAGCAAGTTGGAGGCCAGCCCGGGCTACAGAAGACTTTGCCTTTAAAAAAAAAACAATCAGACTGGGTAGTGGTGCACACCTTTGACCCCAGCACTCAGGAGGCAGAGGCCGGTGGATCTCTGTGAGTTCGAGGCCAGCCTGAGCTACAAAGCGAGTTCCAGGATAGGCAGGGCTGTTACTTAGAGAAACCTTGTCTCGAAAAAACAAAAACAAAGACAAAAAGAAGAATCCTGAGCTAGCATTGATGTTTGTGGCATGCATAGGTAGAGTTTTTCATCATTGGGACTGCTGGCTCCCAAATAACCACACAGAGACTTACTGTTAATTATAAATGCTCAGCTGATAACTTAGACTTGATTTTAATGAGGTCGTATAACTTAAATTAACCCATTTCTATTTCCTTACTTGCTGCCACGTGACTCATGGCTCGTTACCTCATTTTGTACATGTCTTGCTTTCTCTGCGTCTAGCCAACAACTCCTGAGACTCCCGTGACTCCGCCCTTCCACCTCTTAGTGCCCTCTCTCCCTGAAAATCCTGCTTAGTTATAGGCTGCCAGCTCTTTACTAGCCATTGAGCGTAATACATATACATATTTTACAAAAAGATTGTCCAAGGCAGGCATGTGTGACAGTGAGACATCTCCACAGGCTCCTACCCTGCAATGCTGGGGTGCAGAGTGGTGGTGGACACTTTTGCAACTGGCATCCACTTTGTCTTAATCTCTGCCAGATATATATATATATATATATCTTATATGTATGTATGTATAGAAGCCTAGAGGCTTAATTCTGAGACATATTGATCTGTTGTCCCCAGACAATAATTCTATCTCACTACTTCTGTGATACCTATCTTTTATAGTTTAATATGACTGAAATTAACATAGAGTTAGCGTCCACTGAGTCTCATGAACTGCTCTTAGCTTGGATTGAAGTCAAGTTCTTCTAGAGAGAAGCTGAGTTCACTCCACAAATATGGCTCCAAACCATACAGAGACCACACCTTACATTAAACTCTCTCCCTGACCTTTGTTGAGTCATTTGGTAAACTCAGATCCCAACAACCACAAGAATGTGTTTGTGGTTCCAATTCAGGGAAGGTTTTCATCTCTGACTCCCGCCCAGAGCCATGTTGAAACATTCAAGGTTTCTTTTTTAACTACTTTGCATAGAACCTCCCCTTTGCCTTTACGCTGACAGTGTCCCCTCTTTGGTCTTGTCAACCTCAGCTGCTGAATGACCCAGATAAAGTCTCCACCCTGGGTGTTTTGCCCTCTTGGTTTTTTTGAAGATACTATTTTTTATTTGTGTGTGTGTATATGTGTGCACATGTGTGTGTGTGTGTGTGTGTGTGTGTGTGTGTGTGTGTGTGTGTGTGTGTGTGTACATGTGTGCAGGTTGCCTGCAGAAGCCAGAAAAGGGCATCAGATCCTCTGGATCTGGAACTATAGGCTACTGTAAGATGCCTGATATGGGCACTGGGAATCAAACTCCAGTCCTCTAGAAGAGCAGCAAGCACTCTTTTTTTTTTTTAATAATTTATTTTTTTTATTTTATTTACATTGGTGTTTTGCCTGCATGTATGTCTGTGTGAGGGTGTCAGATCTTGGAGTTACAGACAGTTGTTAGCTGCCATGTAGGTGCTGGGAATTGAACCTTGTTCCTCTGGAAAAGTAGTCAGTGCTTTTAACCGCTGAGCCATCTCTCCAGCCCCCTGAGCAGCAAGCAGTCTTAACTGCTGAGCCATCTCTCCAGGCCCTGTTCCCACCCCCACTCCCTTTTGTTTTATGTTTTTTTGTTTTTGTTTTTTCATTCTTAAGGTATATGTATGCATACCCCTGCATGAGTTTATGTGTACCCTGTGCATGCAGGTACCCAGGGAGGCCTGAAGAGGGCATCTGACTCCCTAGAACTGAAGTTATAAGCAGGTCTGAGCCTTGATACAGGTGATGGGAATTGAACCCAGATCCTCTGCAAGAGCAGTAAGTGATCTTGACCACTGAGCCATCTTTCCAGCCTCATAATTTCCCTTTCTTACGGTTCCTTTCAACATAATCAGAAGAGCGGGGCCTCAGTGCAGTGAGGCAGAGCTGCTGCTCCAGGATCAGAGGCTGTTGGCTAGGTTATAGAACAGTTAATAATCATGTCTCCAGTAAGCACAAAGGAGGGACTTAAGAATATTTTACCCTGCTGCTACAACTGTTCTAAAGACTGATGGAAAAGTGTAAACCACGTTTTCATCCATTCACTTGTTCACGTCTTTAAACTGTTAATTCTCTGGCAGGCACACAAAATCTAGCAGTAAAGATCAAAGAAAGTGCTCAATTGATGCTGAATTTGGCATTTAAAAACATGTTTGAGCCGGGCGGTGGTGGCGCACGCCTTTAATCCCAGCACTCGGGAGGCAGAGCCAGGCGGATCTCTGTGAGTTCGAGGCCAGCCTGGTCTACAGCTCGAGATCCAGGAAAGGCGCAAAGCTACACAGAGAAACCCTGTCTCGAAAAACCAAAAAAAAAAAAAACATGTTTGAGCCAGGCGGTGGTGGCACATGCCTTTAATCCCAGCACTCGGGAGGCAGAGCCAGGCAGATCTCTGTGAGTCTGAGGCCAGCCTGGTCTACAGAACGAGATTCAGGACAGGCACCAAAACTATACAGAGAAACCCTGTCTCAAAAAAAAAAAAAAAAATGTTTGGGCACAGACAAGCTGGTTCTTCACATAAAGGCACTTGTTTTGGAAGCCTGGTAACTTCAGTTGAATCTCCACACAAAGGTGGAAGAAATGGGCTCCACAAACGCACCACGGCACACACACCCACACAATGATTTCAAAATGCTTTCTAAAGAGGGCTGGAGAGTTGACTCAGCCGTTAGGAGCACTGGCTGCTCTTTCAGAGGATCCAGGTTCAATTCCCAGCACCCACACGGCAGCTCGCAACCATCTGTAACTCCTGTGCCAGGAGATCCGACACCCTCTTCTGGCCTCCACAGGCACCAGGCACACATGTGGTACACATACATACATACATACATACATACATACATACATACATACAGGCAAAACACTCATATACATACAATGAAAATAAACAAACTTCTTTAAAAATAAAAATGGCCAGGCGGTGCTGGCGCACGCCTTTAATCCCAGCACTCGGGAGGCAGAGGCAGGTGGATCTTTGTGAGTTCGAGGCCAGCCTGGGCTACAGATTGAGATCCAGGAAAAGGCTCAAAGCTACACAGAGAAACCCTGTCTCAAAAAACCAAATAAAAATAAAAATGTTCCTTAAAAACTAACATTTGATTTAAAAAAAAAAAATCCCTTGGTGAAGACTGGGGTGAGTGGCTGAGTGCATGCCAAGTATTCCCAAGGTCCTGGGGTAATCCTCAGTGCTGCAATAAATAAATACCACTTGGTGATGTATGAAAATGTCACAATAAGTTGCTAGTGAAAGGCCATCAAGAAGGCTCAGCAGGGACAGGTGCTTGACCCAGAGCCTGGTAATCTGAGTTTGATCCCCGAGACCCACGTGGTAGGAGGGAACTGACTCACGAAAGTTGTCCTCTGACCTCCAGACACATGCTGTGGTGTGCTCACCCTTACACACACACAAATAAATACAATAAAATTTTAGGTAAAGACTGAGCAAATCTCCTTTGATAATAGACTTGACTTTTAAAAGTTGAGGCCGGGCGGTGGTGGCGCACGCCTTTAATCCCAGCACTCGGGAGGCAGAGCCAGGCGGATCTCTGTGAGTTCGAGGCCAGCCTGGACTACCAAGTGAGTTCCAGGAAAGGCGCAAAGCTACACAGAGAAACCCTGTCTCGAAAAACCAAAAAAAATAAATAAATAAAAAAAAAAAAAATAAAAGTTGAGACAGGACGTTTCTTTCAGCTCCTCACGAATTACTCAAACAGCCACCATATAGTCTTCAACCCACCTTTCTTTTTTTTTTCTTTTTTTTTTGGGGGGGGGGGTGGGGGGGGGTGGGGGTTGAGAGACAGAGTTTCTCTGTGTAGCTCTAGCTATCCTGAAACTTGCTCTGTAGACCAGACTGGCCTTGAACTCAGAGATCCACCTGCCTCTGCCTCCTGGGTGCTGGGATTAAAAGCATGTGCCACCGAAGCCCGGCTAACCCATCCTTCTAATACTGAGGTCTAACATTAGATACATACATGTTACTTCCATGACGTCAGCAGATCACGGAAGAGCTACTACACGTTCACAGGCAAAAACAAGCAGAAAGCAACCGAGGTAGAGAAACTATTTACATGGAGGAAGAGTACCCTTGACCTAAGGACCAAGTCTACACAAAGACAAAGGACCTCTGGACCTCTGCTGCCTTTTGATTTTCACTACGGCCTGTCATGGGCCGCAGACTCAGAGGCTCCAACCAGAACAAAAATGTCCTGAATCTCATGGCCCATGAGCTTGCATTGCATGGATGGTCTGGAGGATGGGTCGCTAGCATCTAATTCAACCTTCATAACAATACGATGGCCTTCCAATCACCATGTTAGTCCCTAACACCTGAATTTTCCACTTAGAATTCCTAGCTACACTATGAGGCCTAAGAAGTTCAACTTAACAAAAGACTTCCTCAGTTAGTCAGGTGTTTGCCTCACAAATGTGAGGGCCTGATTTTATTAGAGAGAGAGAAAAGATCCCAGACACATGGGCTTAAGTTTGTAATCCCAGCACTGGGAAGTCAGAGGCCGGCAAATCCCTAGTGTATGATAGCCAACCACCCTGTCCTTATTGGTGAGTCCCACACCAATGAGAGACTCTATCTCAAAAACTAAGTTGTGGGAACTGCAGACATGGCTCAGCACTTAATAGTGTGTTGTGGTGGTTTGAAAGAAAATGGCCCCCAAAGGGAATGGCACTATTAGGAGGTGTGGCCTTGTTGGAGTAGGTATGGTCTTATTGGGGGAAGTGTGTCACTGTGAGGGTGGGCTTTAAGGTTTCTTTTTCTCAAGCTTTCCTCAGTGTGATAGTCAGTCGACTTCCTGTTGCCTCTGAGGCAAGATGTACAGACTCTCAGCTACTCCAGCACCACGTCTGCCTGCATGCTGCCATGCTCCCCACCATGATGATAATGGACTGAACCCCTGAAACTCTAAGTGAGCCACCCCAATTAAATGTTTTTGTTATAAGAGTTGCCATGGTCATGGTGTCTCTTCACAGAAATAGGAAACCCTAACTAAAACATGTGGACTGTTCCTCCATAGGACTGCTGGTTCACTAACACTTGTAAGTCCAGCTCTAGGGAGAGCTGATACCTCTGTCGCCTGAAGGCACTGACCAGCTCACAAGCACATGCCCCCACCACATACATACACATAATTTAAAAGTACATCTCTTTTTCTTTTAAAGTTGTGGACAGGCCTGAGGAATACTGAGCTTGACTGTGCCCTCTACATACCTGCACACAAATATATGTGCACACATACTCACATGAACACTCACATTAAAGGTGGGTGCCACCACGCTCGCTCTCTTACACATACCATTTAAAACAAGACACCTGGCAAAAAGCATTTGATCTAACTATGGCAAGTGCCAAAGATATAAATGAGCATGTCCATCAGGCCAGTCACATCTCTAGGCCTTTTTTAAGATGCTGTGAGCCAGGGGGGTGGGGGGGGTTCCTTTAATCCCAGCCCTCAGGAGGAAGAGGCAGGGAGATCTCTGAAAAGGCCAGTCTGGTCTCCAGAGCAAATTCCAGGGCAGTCAGGGCTACACAGAGAAACCCTGTCAAAAAAAAAAAAAAAAAAAAAAAAAGATATGCTGTGACTTACAAGGAAAAATCCCAGGGTTCTTTGTGTTAAGATTTGAGTATGTCCCGCAAGCTCCTGCACAGGAATCTTGATTCCCAGGGCAATGTTGCTGCTGTGGCATTGAGAGGTGTTGAAACCTTCAAGAGGTAATGAGGTTACTAAGTAGGATTAATGCCACTCTTGTGGGACTGAATTAGTTAGCCCCAGAACACAGCACTGTGAACCCACCCATCTACCCCACTTCCAGCCAGGTTTCTTCTCTTTCTCATGCCTCATTTATCTCTCTGCCTGTCTACGCTTCCACAAAACACAAGGCCCTAAGCAGATGCAGCTGGGGTGATATATTGTGTACCCTAATAAAATTTTCCTAAAGATCAGAGAACAGAACAAGCCACTAGTTAAACACAGAGGCCAGGCAGTGGTGGCACACACCTTTAATCCTAGCACTCAGGAGGCAGCCATCTGTCTGGATCTCTGTGAGATCAAACCCACCCTGGACCACATGAGATTGACTCAGTCTAGGAGAGAAACCGAGCCAGGCAGTGGTGGCACACACCTTTAACCCCAGTACTTGGGAAGCACACAAGCCCTTAATCCCAGCACTAAGAAAGAAGTGGTAGGGCTAGGCAGACAAAGACATATAAGGCATGAGGAGACAGAATTAAAGCTTTTTGGCTGGAGAGCTTTCGGCTGAGGACTCAAAGGCATTCAGTCAGAGGATTCATGGGGTTGGCGAGGTAGAACGTGGCAGTGGCTTGTTCCTTCGTCTCTCTGATCTTTCAGCATTTACCCCAATATCTGGTCCTGGGTTTCTTACTAAAAGACCATTTCGGGCTGGAGAGATGGCTCAGCGGTTAAGAGCACTGACTGCTCTTCCAGAGGTCCTGAATTCAATTCCCAGCAACCACATGGTGTCTTACAACCACCTGTATGTAACGAGATCTAGTGACCTCTTATGGTCTGCAAGGACACATGCAGGCAGAATACTATATACATAATAAATAAATATTAAAAAAAAAAGACCATTTCAGCATTCATGCAACGTGCAGCCACCTGGTCTTTGATTTCTCAGCTTCCAGAATCCTGTTTCTAGCCTCCAATGGGACTCTGTGTGTGTGTTTGTGTGTGTGTGTGTGTGTGTGTGTGTGTGTGTGTATGTATGTTATACATACATGCACTCAGGCACACACACATATTAAATAAATAAATAAGCAAGCTAGCAGTAGTAGCCCTTTAATCCTGGCTCTTGGGAGACAGAGGCAGGCAAATCTCTGTGAGTTCGAGGCCAGCCTGGTCTACAAAGCAAGTTCCAAGACAGCCAGAACAGTAACACAGAGAAACCCTGTCTCCAAAAAAACAAAACAAAAAGGTGAGGAAAAAGTAAATAAATAAACCTCTCTCTCTCTCTCTCTCTCTCTCTCTCTCTCTCTCTCTCTCTCTCTCTCTCTCTTTTATGTAGAAACTGCACTGGGGATGTGGCACAGTTGATAGAATGCTTACTCAGCACATACCACGTCCTGGCTTCAATCCCAAGCATTACATAAGCCGGGCATGATGGTGCACACTTCTAATTCCAGTACTGGAGAGGTTCGGGCCGGGGGATCAGAAGTTCAAGGTCATCCTTAGATTCCTCGCCAGTTCTAGGCCAGTGTGGGATACGTGAGCCCCTGTATCAAAACAGGAAGAAAACGGAAAAAGCAACCAAAGAGTGAGGCAAGGCCCGCCTTCTAACACCCTACTGCTTCACTCTGGTTAAAGATAAAAATAATGTTAACTCACCTGCTTTCAAGTCCTCTGTGTATCATAATTCACTTCCATTCTCCGTGCCCTCGGGTGACATTCTGGGGAGAGACAGAGAGACAGACAGACAGACAGACAGACAGAGACAGAGAGAGAGACAGACAGAGACAGAGAGACAGAGAGAGGCAGAGAGAGAGAGAGAGACAGAGACAGAGAGAGATAGAGACAGAGACAGAGACAGAGAGAGGCAGAGAGAGAGAGAGAGAGAAGAGGAGAGGAGAGAGAGAAAATGCACACATTTGAACTACACATGAGATCCTTTCATCTTTAAGGGGTTGGGAGTGGGGAAAAATGTTCAGAGAATAGATGTGCTTTATGAAAGTCCAACAACCTGAATTTGATTCTGGATCCCACAAGGTGGCAGGAGAGAATCAACCTCCACGTGCTATAGCACACACACACACACACACACACACACACACACACACACACACACACACACACTAAATAGGATGATGGATGGAGAGATGGGGGAAGGGAGAGAGAGAGGGAGGGGGAGAGGGAGGGACAGAGGGGGTGACAAAGCAAAACAAGGCTTGGATCTATCTAGGCTGGTTCACACCTCACCTCTCCTGTTCAACTAATCCTCCTCAGAAGCAGCTGGGACTAAAGACACTTCTTTACAGGTAAATGTGAACAACAAGAAGGATCACCTACAGGGTGCCATAAGGGAGAAGTCAGCAAGAGGTGGCTGAACACAGCTATGAAGAGAAAGTTGTGTCCCATCTATTCCTCTACTGGGAAATAGTCATTTGAGAAAGCTCGATGGCTGTGGAGTAGCCAGCCTTAAAACCAGACCTCCTATGACAAGCCTGGCCAGTTCCCTTTATGCTGGCCCGGATCTCTGTTGCCCTGGAGAAGCAAGTCCAAGGAAAAGGCTTAAATGCTGAGGAAGAGTCTAGACAGCACCAAACATGCCTTCTCTGCGAGTCTAGACATAGATCCTCCAGCCCCGTAGAGCTCCGAGAAAATGTGGCCCCGTGCTACACCTGAGTGGAGAACTCTGAGACACAACACCCAGCCAAGCCACACCCTGCTTCCTGGGCCGCATGGAACTGTCCTGATAGAAGATTCTTTAAAAGAGAGACACTTGCCTGAGTGTGATGGTGCACACCTTTAATTCTAGCACTCATGAGGTAGAGGCAAGCTGATCTCAATGAGTTCAAGGCCAGTCTGGTCTATATATTGAGTGCCAGACAAGCCAGGGATACATAGTGAGGCCTGGCAGGGAGGGAGGATGCTGCCAGACAATTATTGAAACAATAGTCTCTAAGGAAGGGAAAAGCTAACGCTTTGATGCCACCCAGAAGACGAAATTGCCTCCCGGGAAGAGATGTCATGCAGTTCTGACAACTTGTCAGACCAGCTTGTAGAGACCAAGGCAGTCATGGGTCCGTGACTAGGACTGCTTAGTTATGCATACCTCTTGTCCTCTACTGAAACCTAAACTTCGCATCCGGACAAAGACAGACTCAGGGCTCACTGGACTGACCCCATGTGGCCACAGTAAAGAAATCTTTCTCAGCTTTTCAACGTTGCTTGTCTCCTTAGTTGGTCTGTTTTGGACAGGTGGCCTTGCCTAGCTCATAGAAATTGCCAGAAGCCAGGCTTTGACTCGAGAAACTCTGGAGTCATAGACTGCATGAGACAATAAATGTTTTCTGTTCATGCTGCTACGTGCTTGAGACAGTTTGACCCCCAGCGATTCATAAGACAGTGAGTGGTTGCATACATATTTGATGGATCATTCTTCATTTTCTTCTGAGTCTAAAGAATCTCGTAAGAACTTCATCATATGTCAAGGGTATCTTCCTGTGTTGATCATCTGAAGCTCAGACAATGGACCTTTCACCCACTTGGACATTCGGAGACTTGTCTGTTGACATCTTGCCTTCCCCTAAGAGGACTTTCAAGATAAATGGTGCCTTCAAAATGAGAAATATAAAGAATTAATCTATTCTAAATCAAATTAGTAACATCACGTCCTCAAAGATTCCTGGTAAGGGAGCCAAGAGGTGCCACCTCAGAGAAGTGGTTACTATTGACAGAGACAAAGTAGGTGGCTGCCAAGAGGAGGGGCAGGGGAGGGTGGGCGGATGGGCCTCGACCTCGCCACCATGCGCCATGCTGCCACTAGATGGCAGTGAAGTTGTATCATGCAATTACTCGGCCGGCTGAAGCACTTCCCATGAATGTCACGGAGGGGAGAGAAAAAAAAAAAAAGCAAAGAAATTCTTACTTAATTGCTTAGTTGACATAGTTTTTAAATTGCTATTTCTATTTGGGAATTAAGTGTAATGTGTTGATTTGTGGCCAAAAGTCATTTTTGAAAAGAAGGTAAGTTTTAAATGTGTTCCTTATTTATCTTAAAAATTGACAGCCTAGAGCCAGTGAGATGGTCCAGTAGGCACCTGCTCTGTAAGCCTGGTGACCTGAGTTCAATCCCTGGATCACACACATAAATGTGGAAGCAGAGAACTGACTTCACAAAGTTTCCCTCTGACCGCATGTGTGCCTTGGCACATGCACCATAAACCTCTCTCTCTCTCTCTCTCTCTCTCTCCATACACACACACACACACACACACACACACACACACACACACTAATAAACATTTAATAGCTTTAAAAATATCTTAATCACTGGACTTTATAAGCATTCATCCAGCTATTCATAATCTTTAATTTGGGGTAATTTTAAAGAGAATGAGGCACAGTCATTTTAATTTTGAAAGATTGGCACCAATAGATCAAATTAGAAAAGGGCACCCATAATTACAGCTCACTTTCCCTTCCCTTCCAATTAGTCCTGACTGTAAGAGGTCATCTAGCTTAATAATTAAGCACACAGGCCTTGGAACTAGACTGGGTAGCTTTGGATCCTGTTTCCCCTTTGAACTGTGTCTCATTATCTCCCTCAAAAATAAACGAGTTTTTTTAAAATGAATTAGTATGCGTGGAGCACTGGGGGTAACACTCGTTACTTCGACATGCGGTTTAAATACTGACTAGTTATATTTGCAAACCTAAGGTCCTTGTCTCTGAGGTACTGTGTACTGTGGAAATACATAGTAAAAACTGAAGCATGAACCAACCCTCAGAATCAAAGTCTGCAGCTAAAGAGGCAAACAGAATCAATGGGAACGGGTCCTGACTGTTGACAGAGAGGACACCCTCTCAAAGAATAAACTAGAACCCAACCCATCAAAATCTGAAGTCAGTGAACTTTCACCCCCATAATGGCAAATCGCCCTTATTTATTGACGGAGGAAACTCCCCCAAGACAAGCAAGCGGCAATATTAGCACAGCTGAAACCCTGAACCATTAGCACACGCTGCCATCTATCTACTTCATTCTGGTTATTGTCACTCAACCTAAGGAACTCGACCTTCACTACCCTGGAGAAGGAATGACAGCCAAATCCAGAGAGAGAGAGAGAGAGAGAGAGAGAGAGAGAGAGAGAGAGAGAGAGAGAGAGAGAGAGATTTCTTCGAAGCTTCAGGCTCAAGCAGTAAGATAATAGGTTTCCAGGGAAAGTTCACAGCTTCCTCTGGTCCCATACAACTCAAAAAACATTTTGCTATTGGAGAAAAACAAGGGGATTTGAAAGAAAAGCACAAAGGGACTGTGTTCATGCTTAGCCACCAGCCACCAGTGTGCTCCAGAGAATGGATCCCCTTCTCTCCCACTGCTGAGCTCAGAGAAAGGAGTAACAAAACACCCAAGTACGCGCGTGTGGGGCTTCTGGAACAGAATGTTCAGCCCCACTGCAGGTGGAAGCCGAACACTGAAGGGCTCCTCGGTCCAGCAGCTAAGCAGAGCAGACGGATATCAGCATGGTGTGTGGAGGCAGACGGCTCTGTAAGAGAAGCGCCACAGAAGTTCCCCGAGCCACAAAGTGGTACGGTGGCGGCACGCGGCTGCCAGAAATACAAGATGCGCCCCGGGTCTCTCCCGGTGGGTGCAGCTGGTGAAGAGACGGTAGAATTTTCCCACCAAGTGGAACATCACATCAGAGAGGCAGAGAGAAAAGCAGCAGACAGGGAAAGGCTGGGCCCTGGGAAACAAGGGAGGGTGTGGCTGGGAAAACCCTGGCAAGTGGGTGTACCCTGCAGGAAGTGGTTTCAGCTGTTTTCGGAAAGCTCAACCAGAGACAGGACTGCTCATTCCTGTCACCTGGAAGTTCACGGCAGTAAGGGCCCAGCAAACCAGCTATGACCTGGTTTGTTCTTTTGAAATAAACCTCTTGACCAAAAGTAACTTGGGGAAGGAAATGGTTTCTTTCAGCTTACACTTCCAGGTCACAGTCCATCCCAGGCAGGAACTCAAGCAGGAATGGGAGCAGAGACCGTGAAGGAACACTGCTCACTGGCTTGCTCCCAGGCTTCTGATCAGCTGCCTTTCTTACTGGGCCCAGGCCCATCTGCCTAGGGATGGTTACCACCCACAGTGGCCTGGGCCCTCCCACATCACTTAGCAGTCAAGAAAATCCCCCCACAAACATACCCCTCTGACGGAGGAGCCAGTTCTTCAACTGAGGCTCTCTCTTCCCAGGTGTGCGAGTTGACAAAACCATCACAAAGGGCTAAAGCTTCCCTGCTCCAGGCCCCCAGGTCATCCAGGATGCCAGCTTGCTGATGCTTTACTGCCCTGGTCCAGAATATTACCCTGCACCCTTTAGGAAACTAAGGTGGCTCTCACCATTGTCACATCCCCATTCCAGCCTGGGAAGAAGAAAGACGTAGAGTGTAAAGCCAAGGGCTGGTAGGAGCCATTTTATACCACGACCGTATATATATTCTTAAAATAAAGCTGTAGTCCCTTATAAACCCTTAACAGATTTTGACTTTGCAATCGTTGAGATACAGTAAAATTTTAATAACATTGTCAGCTACATTTAAAAATCTTCAGTATTAAAAAGAGTTCTGGCACATATATTTATTCTTTTTATTTCCAAATTCCTGTGTAATTTATTCCCCAACTTTGTACTCCAGATGGTTAAAAAATGGATGCGGAGGGCTGGGGTGTAGCTCAGTTGGT